CTCTCTCTCTCTCTCTCTCTCTCTCTCTCTCTCTCTCTCTCTCTCTCTCTCTCTCGCTCGCTCGCTCAAAGGTGCTATGTGTCTAATCAAATGGTTTTATACGGGGCCGGTTGCAAGCCCGTGATTTTGCAATAGTATGCAATCTCTCTATCACACTCTTCCCAAAATGAAGGTGGATATTGATCGATCTCGTTCTTGAATTCCATAATGGCGATCTGTCTATCCTTTTCGGCCATGGCTGCACGAATCTCGTCGCAGGAAGCACAGGATGACGTGTCAGTCGTTGAAGCCTCCCGCCCTTTCCCCTTAGACGACAAAGTCATGGTTGCGAATTCTGTACTCAGTTCGCTGTCCGGGGCCTTCCCTCCACAACCGCCCCCGTGAACCACTTTGTCGTAAAACCTCCATGCCATTTCAGCCTAGTCACGTGCCACCCGTAACTCTTCCTCCGCGGACTCCAACCTTCGCATGGCGTCGTCTCTCTCTCTCTCTCTGCCTCACGCAATGCACGGGATGCTTGATCGAATCTCCCCCGCATGTCTTCCGCCCACAGTCTCCATTGAATAACCTGTCGCCGTATCTGCATGTTGTTGACAACAAGATCGTCACAGTATTGCCGCAACGCATTCCGGGAGTCATGCAGCCTCCTCAACACTGAAGACGCCCATCTACGGGCATGTATGTTCTCCAAAGAGATGTCGCTTTCAGTTACCGACCTCCCATTCCGCAATGTAACCGTGATGCTATCTCCCCTTTCAACCAAGAACCGGTGTAGGCGCTCCACCTCCTTCTCACTCTTGTCCATACTATCTATGACCGCACGTCTTTCGTGCGCGTAGCACGTGCGCTGCCCGGCGTCTGCCATGGATGGGTAAGAGTTTGCAAGTATCGGTTTGAACAGACTGACGCGTACAACGCCCTTCGCCCACGCTGCCCCACGCGACCTCGCACTCAAGATTGTGGAGTGAAGGCAGTTGCCTTTACATAGAATTGAACGAAATTGCACTACTTGGCCGAATCGGCAAGAAAACCTACTACACAGTAACGCACCATCTACGCCCGTTTTGTTTTGGCTAAACCCAACGGCATTGCTGCACTGCAAACCCGAAAAAAAAGAAAACGGAGTTTTAGTCATCCAGCCGGGCCTCCCACAAACGAAGGACCTCGGTGCACAGTGCGTCCCTCACCGCCTGCCCACGTTCCCGACCGAACATGGACACCACCGGACAACCGTCGACATGCCTGTCAACATCGGGAGGCGGACTGTCCGGAGACGAAACATCCATCAACTCATCCTCCGCTTCCGGCAGGTCACCCCACTCCTGAAGTACGTTGTGGAGTATACAACAAGCGCGGAACTTCAGCCTCTCCCTCGTGATGTCAGCAATGTGCGGGCGGTAAAAGAACTGGAAGCGCATCTTGAACACACCAAAGAACCACTCGATGCAAGACCTCACTATCTTGTGCAGAGCGTCAAACTGCTGCATTGCTCGCGTGACCACCGGTTGACGCCCGTACGGAATGACAAGCCAGGGAAGGTTGGGATACCCACCATCGCCGAGCAAGTACCCGCCAGGGACACCTGGTATGGACGACCGTTCGCCACGGAACGGATCTTGTGGATCGTCAAAAAACAACGACCCCATCAGGGCTCGCCTGTACAATGACGTGTTCTTGAGAACACGCGCATCGCCCACAGTCCCCGGAAAACCATAGCAGAAGTCCAAGATCTTCAGTTCCGAATCCACCACCACTTGCGTCACGAGGGAGAACCGGTTGTGTCGACCGGAGCAATAGTCATCACCGTCCCTTGAGCGGGGTTTGTCAACATACACATGGGTGCAGTCAATACAGCCCCAACAATTCGGAAACCCCAACGCCTCGAATTGCTGCATGCGTCGGTGACGGTCTTCCAAACCCCCAAAGCTAACAACATTTGGATAAGCGGCGTGAATGGCCTCCGCTACTTCCTTAATGGCTCGCGTCCCGCTGGTTCTGCCCATCCCGTAACCAGAGCAACTGTGCCAATGTGAGTCACCGTGGGCCCACCTAAGCAGTGCATAAGCCAGTACCTTCGCTGGAGGCAACGGCAGCCTGAATTTCGTCACTGTCTTCTCCAAAGAAGGACCGATCTTTCGCAGCAATCAAAGGTGGAGCGACGCATGCGCAGCAGGCCTAGGTAATGGTCGTCCTGAGCATTGTCTCTTGGAAGCAGGTCGTTCCACAACCCAGCTGACCGCCTCATCACCCACCACCTAGGCGACGCCCGAGGCAAGAGATCACAAATTTCGACAATGGTTGGCCACAACCAAAGCAAACTACGCCCTCCACGGCCATGGTCGTCGTTGTCATCTCCTGCACCAAACAGGGTGTCATTCGACTGCTGCGCCAGGAATAAGGGCCTTGCTGTCCGGAAACCAAGGAGGTCATCGAGGCTTTGGAATGCATCCTCGGCCATTCTGCCCGCAACAGCCATGACTGCGACAGCGAGCTGTTCTCGCTGCCTCCTTCTAAGCCGCCGCATCCCACTGCCACGTGGACAACGAACACCCGTTGACCAACCCCCTCAAACCTCGTCACCACGCCCACACAACCCCCCCCCCCCCCCCCC